CTGCTCAGAACGATCTCTATGGTGCTTCTGGATAAGGTGGGGAGGATGGGTGGGGGCAGGTGGGCTCTCCTCATCCTCCGCTGGAAGTCCGAGCACTTCTGGGCCCTTTTGACCAATGAGGTGGTGTTTACATTCCAGGTGAGGGTGTCTGTGATGTGCACCCCAAGGAATTTGGTGCTGCTGACCACCTCTACAGCTGAGCTGTTGATGACCAGTGGAGCGTGGTTAGGCCGGTTCTTCCTGAAGTCCAAGATGATCTCCTTGGTGTTCTCCACATTCAGGATCAGGCTGTTATCTCTGCACCACCAGCTGCTCCACCTCCTCTCTGTAGTCCAGGTCATTGTTGTCTCTGATGAGGCCCACCATCGTGGTGTCGTCTGCAAACTAGACTGATGACATCAGAGGTGTTCTGTCCAACCCGGACTGACTGAGGTCTGTTGGTGAGAAAGTCTAGCAGCCAATAGCAGAGGGGTGTATTGAAGCCTTGCTGTTCCAGTTTGCCCATCAGATGCTGTGGGATGATGGTGTTGAAAGCTGAACTGAAGTCCAGGAACAGCATCCGCACGTGGGTGTTCTTCTACTCCAGGTGTGCCGGGCTCAGGTGGAGAGCAGCAGAGATGGCATCCTTAGTGGAGGACGTTCCGTCCGTAAGGGAACTACAGTGGATCGAATGTTGGGGGGAGAAAGGAGACAACGTATTTTTTCTTACCAGCCTCTCGAAGTCATTAATCATGGTGGGAGTCTGTACAACCGACTGGTAGTCATTAAATGAGGTGACCTGAGGCTTCTTTGGGACCGGAATGATCAAGGCTGATATGTCCCTAGTGCATGTTAGCACTTGGGATTGGTCTAGTAATGTGTTACAGATGTCTGTCAGGACACCAGTCAGCTGATCTTCACACTCCTTGAGTACCCACCCAGGTATGTTGTCGGGACCTAGGGCCTCCCTTGGGTTCACTCTCCTCAGAGTCTTCCACACGTCAGTTGTATCAGGCACATTGCCTCCTCTCCCTGATGGGGAACAGCTTTCAAAGCTGGAGTACTGTTTAGTGCCTCAAATCTTCCAAAGAAGTTGCTGGTCAAGATTCTCAGTCATCCAGGTCATAGTCATCCCAAAAAAATTAAAAATAAAAACGCTAGACTCCAAGTTTGAAGACATTTCACTTCCAAAGAAGTTGTTCCGTCCATTTAGGAAGTCAGCATCAGCTACACCCACTGGGGGGGAGGGTGTGTTGCAGTCAGTAATTGCTGGTATGCCTTGCGACATCCTCCTCTTGTTGCTGGCATTGTATAAAAGGTCCTGGATTTTTCCGGCTGTGGTTCTGCTTTGCTGATCTGACTGTCCTCAGTACATCTCTGTCACCAGACTTGAAGGCTGAGTTCCATGCTTTTAGTGGTTGCTAAACCTCCCCAGTCATCCAGGTTCGTTGGTTGGCCCGGGTGGTAATGTTCTTTGTGGTGCTGACGTCCTCAATGCATTTGTTGATGTAGGCTGACACAGT